TTGTCCACAGCTGCATGGTACACGGTAGACTCCTGCAGAGTGAGAGGATCCCTCTTGTCCTTTGCTGAACGTAGCATTTGTTGGATTTTCTTGGTGGGTCTGTAGATTGTTTGTATGTTGTGTTTCCTCATCAGCTTCCCTATGCGGTCAGTGGTTCCCTTGATGTATGGCAAGAACACTTTTCCTCTGGGTGGATCTTCATCTTTGCTCTCGTGGTTTGTTCTCGGTTTTGCAGCTCTTCTGATGTCTGAGGTGGAGTATCCATTGGCCTGGAGAGCCCAGTTGAGGTGGTTCAGTTCATCTTGGAGGAGGTGGGGTTCGCAGATTCTTTTTGCATGGTCTGCCAAGGCTTTAATGGGGCTTCTTTTTTGACTTGGGTGATGGTTGGAGTTTTTATGTAGATATCTATCTGTGTGTGGGGGTTTTCTGTAAACGGTGTGACCCAATTGTTGATCTGGTTTGCGGATGACTAGGACATCTAGAATATCTGTGCCTATGACAAAGCCAGTGAAGTTTTGAAACCTTGCATGACATATTTTCTACATTTGTACTGGTCAATAAAGTGATCACTATTTGGGGGGGTCTTGGATTTGGTGCATGGTCAATACAGCAACACCTAAATATGTTTATTGTAGTGTTGTAAAAGCATTATTCTCCCCCACTTAATCCAGATAAATTATATTCAAACTAAGGTCTATCACAACAACAATAAATGGAACTGAAACAATGTACAATTTTGTTTGAATGGACTAATTATGGAAGGTAATGTTTTCATATATACTGAAAAGGCTGAGGCACAGTATGATGTTTGCTTCTCTCATCTATGGGAGATTTTTAAAAAGAAAAACAGAGCAATAAAGAGCAATTTCCTCTTATTTCAAACAGACAGATTCTAGCAATTGCTCAAGGGTTTTTTTATTTACTCTAACATGAGGTTCAATTAAGGTAAGAAAAAGGTGACCGCTTTGGAAAAATACAGATAAACAGTGCTAGCAATAGTAAGCTAACAACAAACTTACTGGGTTTTTTAAATGGGGAAGAATACAATAAACAACAGGCAGCAACATAAGCATGTTAGCATGATGCTTTTGCCTACATGACTATATTGCTCCAATGTTGCTATTGTTTTCCTTCTTGTCATTTCCAACTCTTGACCCTAAAATGAAAGTAACATATACGTTTCTTTGCTCAGAGGTGGGTTACCATTGTCTTCTTCTGAAGCTGAGAAGCTGTGACTTGCCCAAGGTCACCCAGTGGCATTTCTTAGCTCAGGGAGGGTTGAAAACCCTTGTCTCTCAGTGTCTAGTTATGTACTGATTGAAAAAGACATCCCCCTTAAAATTCTCACCCCAAATGTGTTGCTAGAATTCAGCAGAGAAATGTGATATGTCTGCTTTGTACCTTTCTGATGATGGAAGACACTTTTAGATCTAAGCAGTAGAACACTTTTAGATCTAAGCAGGACCACCTGCTCCCTTGATCCGTGTCCCTCCTGGCTAGTAAAATATTGCCTGGAGGGATTACGTGAACCTCTGTTGAATATAATAAATAGCTCCCTTGAGCAAGGTGCTTTTCCAGAGGGTTTAAAAGAGGCTACGGTTTCACCGCTGCTGAAGAAACCAGACTTAGATCGTTCGGTTCCCTCTAGCTACCGCCCAGCCTCGAACCTTCCGTTTCTGGGCAAGGTGGTTGAGAGGGCAGCAGTGGAACAGCTGCAACAGTTCCTAAATGACACAGCTGGACTCGATCCCTTCCAGTCCAGTTTCCATAGTGGGCACGGGACGGAGACTGTGCTAGTTGCCATCACAGATCAGCTTCGCTGCCAGATGGATCAAGGTGGATCAGCGCTGCTCGTGCTATTGGACCTCACAGCAGCATTTGATACGGTTGATCACAATCGACTAATCCACTGCCTAGCCATGACTGGGGTTAGTGGGATACCCCTTAAGTGGGTGTCCTGCTTCCTCCAGAATCGGGGGCAGCGCGTGGTGAGGGGAGGGATGGTTTCCAAGAGGTCTACGCTAATATGCGGCAAGAGGTCTCCGCTAGTATGCGGGGTCCCACAGGGAGCCATTCTCTCCCCTCTGTTATTTAACATCTACATGCGTCCACTTGCCCAACTGGTGTGAAACTTTGGGCTTGAGTGCCAAAAGTACGTTGACGACACTCAGCTCATTCTGAGGATAGAGGGCCGGCCGGACTCCGTACCCGAAAATTTCCATCAGTGCCTTGAGGCCGTTTCTGGATGGTTGAGTGCCAGCAGGTTGAGGGTGAATCCTGCTGCTCACAATGGAGGCCCAGGTCTCTGCTGTGAGCAGGTCTGCGTTTTTCCATCTACATCAGGCTAGGCGACTGGCTCCCTACCTATCTAGGAACAACCTGGCTACGGTGATCCAGGCAACGGTCATCTCGAGGCTTGACTACTGTAACGGTCTCTACATTGGCCTTCCTTTGTCAGTGATCTGGAAACTGAAGCTGGTGCAAATGTGGTGGTTCGTCTTCTCACCGGGGTGCCAGCGAGGTGTCGTATCACCCCAATTCTCCAACAGCTGCACTGGCTACCAAATGAGTACTGGATCACTTTCAAGGTGCTGGTACTAACCTTTAAGGCCTTATATGGTCTGGGGCCGGCATACCTGAGGGCCCGGCCCGCTTATCCCCCTACCAACCCCAGAGATTATTCCAGTCTGAAGACCAAAATCTGCTTGCAGTCCCTAACATCCGGACCTATCATTTGTCATCTACTAGGCATAGAGCCTTCTCGATCATAGCCCCTTATTTATGGAATGCCTTGCCGGTCGAACCTCGAACCATCCGAGACCTACTTGCTTTTCGGAAAGCCTGTAAGACTTTTCTTTTCCGGCAAGCTTTTGATGGGTGAACAACCCGGGCTATGTTCTCGCTGCTTATTGTTATTGTTATGGTTATTTTTAAAGATATTGTATTGTTTTAATTTGTTTCTGTAAACCGCTCTGAGCCAAACTGGGAGTAGCGGTATACAAGTCAAATAAATAAATAAAACAAGGAGAACTTTCTCCCTATAAGACTTTAGTGCCCTTTCCCCCTTCATCCTTGCAGTTGTTTTGTTAAAACAAGATCTTAGTAAAATGAGACTGCATAGTATTTAAAGAGACAGCTCTTTTTTTTTCTCTTTTTTTAAAAAAAAGAATGACATCAAAAGCCACTTGAGATTCAGCAGCAACAAATGAAGCTTTCATCATGGTCACAACTATACTGGAGATCTTAAGGGATAAGAAAGCTTCCATTTTTTAGAATTAGAAGACAGCAAACTTAAAAGGTGTCATATACCATGAATAAGTAAACATGGATCGACTGGCAGATCCCTTGGTAATTTCTGGGTCTACTGGCAGATCTCTGGCTGATGAAGATTTTCATCCATAGATTTAAAATGTGCACCAAATAAGAGATACTTGACTTTTATTATACATCTGAAAAGAAGAAAACTTTAATCAAAGATTCTTGCATAGAGGAATTCTTAATCCACCAGACAGTGATACTCAAAAATCAATTACAGGGGTCGGAAATCTAAACCAATACCTTTTTCAACAGTCTCTTCTTGATAAATCTTGAGATTTTACTAAAAATAAAATTGATTCTCCAAGTCTGAAATCTGCCGATTCCTGCTATATGGGAATTGTAATAGTGCTACAATTTTCAGTAACAGCTTTCCCTATTACTAAACTATACTTACAGAGGAGTTCATTGAAGAAAGGGCTTCAGTAATTCCACATTGGTGTAATGCCCTCCCTAAAGAGACCAATCTGGTACCTTCACTGTTGATCTTTCAAAACCTTTTTATTCTCTCAGACCTTGCTCTATGTTATTTCCTGGGACTTGTATTTCAGAGTTTTATCTCAATTGACATGTGAGATTTTGTATTATCTGTTGTGTTTTACACCCTGTTCCTGTTTGTATACATTGTGTTCCAGTTAGTATCTTTTATTGCCTAATCTACTGGAAAATAGTCCTTAGCATTTTATAACTCAAGTTCATTGTGGCAATTTGAAGATCTGGTGCTCAGAAATATTTTATCAAACAATTCTGTAAGGTTTGAGAAGGAATTGTTTGCCCAATTCCCCTATCCCCTATCACAAAATTATCCACATGCAATAGCATAATAACAATGACATGATGATGGTTTGCTCATATTGAGTAGACTCATCATCATCATAGATGATCCCTCATGGCCAAGTATGATTGTCTTCCAGAAGTAGAGCCTTGGCAATGGGTCCATAAGTGATTGTAGTGACCTAGTCTCGATCTGCATGATCTATCACACTAAGGAAATTGATTTCCAGATGGAAGGCGATCCCGACAAGGGTTGCTTGATGTGCCTTCTAACAGTCTGAAAAATACCCCCTTTAAAGTACACTACTTAGAGAGAAAATAGAAAATAGTATTCTGATTCTTCTGCAGAAATCAACTCTATATACAAACATGTGGCATATAGTCTTTTAAGTGCATTTTAAGCTGTTTAAGTGACTCACCCAATAATATGTGCTTTAGTAGGATGACTTTTCTAATGCACAGAGCTTAACATTCAGTTGGGGATTCAGCTTCTGAATAAGATAAAAGTCACTCTAAAATATTTAGGAAAGAAGACTCTAATACAGGCAGTCCCTCAGTTACAAACAAGTTAAGTTCTGTAGGTGTGTTCTTAAGTTCAATTTGTTTGTAAGTCGGAACAGGTACATTTTTTAAAATGTAACCCGAAAGATCTCAGACAAGCCCCTACATTGGCAGTCTTCAGGAAGGAATTGAAAACCTGGCTGTTCCGATGTGCCTTTTCAGATTAGGAACCTCCAGCACCAAATCCTAGAAGCACCTTAGTAGAACCAAGATCACTGCACACTGCACACCGCACTTATATTTAATCCCACATCCCTCCTGCCACATCAACACTTTTAACCCTGTACCCCTACTTCGGCCGGCCCAGTTTTAATAGTGTCTTGTTGTATTGTTACTGTTATTGTTTTCCTGCTTAACTGTTTTTAATTTGCTTTGGGTATTGTATTGTTGTATTGTGTTTTTGGGGCTTCGGCCTGTGTAAGCCGCATCGAATCCCTTGGGAGATGCTAGCGGGGTACAAATAAAGTTATAATAATAATAATAATAATAATAACCCCCAACTCTCTCTTCCCTCCTCCCCCGTCTCTTTATATACAGTGTGTGTGTGTGTGTGTATACAAGATCAAACGCAACCAACCTTCTACTCAAATAGGCATAAGAAATATACCACAATTGATCACATATTGTTAAAAGAGAACTTCAGTATGGAAATAAGATCTTGTTTTACAGATACGCCATGGTGATGATCAATTTTGAGATAAGTGGGGATGGAGTGGATAAGACCTATAAGTATAAGGATATAGTTTGGAAGGATTTGAAAAGTACAGAATATATGAAAGATCAGATTAAAAATTTCTTCCAAGATAATAATGGTTCAGCCAGCATACAAACTATTGTCGAAGGCTTTCATGGCTGGAATCACTAGGTTCTTGTGGGTTTTTTCGGGCTATATGGCCATGTTCTAGAGGCATTTCTCCTGACGTTTCGCCTGCATCTATGGCAAGCATCCTCAGAGGTAGGAGGATACTTGCCATAGATGCAGGCGGAAACGTAAGGAGAAATGCCTCTAGAACATGGCCATATAGCCCAAAAAAACCCACAAGAACCTAGCATACAAACTATTTGGGACACTTTAAAAGCGGTCTTTAGAGGATTATGCATAGCTAGAGAAATAGTTTATGAGAGAAATAGGAGAATGGTTAGGGAGCAGAAATTAAAGGAAATTACTCTATGTCAGAGAGAAGTCCAGCAGAAGAAAGATAAGGAGAAGGGAGCTAGATTAGCCCAATTGAAAAGGGAATTGGCAGAGACTGATGCTTTGGAGTTGTGGAAAGTTGCTGTAATGGTTAAAAATGATTACCAATGAAATAATATCCAATCTATGAAGAGATTGGCTAATTACTTAAAAAATAAGAAAGGAGAAGAAAGGAGTGGGGCAGATAAGAAATAAGCAAAAAGAAAAAGTAAAGGGGACAGGAAAAATACTACAGGTTTTTTCAAGTTATTTTAAAGAATTATATGGAAAAGAAACACTGAAAAGATGGAAAGAAGAGGTAAACACAAAGTTGGACCCCAGGGAGGCAGAGTCAATGACAGAAGAAATAAGTCAGGAGGAAATTTTAAAAAGTGATAGGGAAGCTTAAAGGTAATAAGGCCCCAGGTGTTGATGGATTTACAGGTCAATTCTATAAGGAAATGGGGGAATTGTTAATACCACAATTACAAATATTGTTTAACCACATAATGAGAGGGGGCCCCACCACCTGATTCTTGGAAACAGGCAGAAATACTGACAATTTTAAAAGAGGGGAAGGACCCATTAGAGGTACGTTCTATAGACCAATAAGTCTGATGAACCAAGATTATAAAATAATGTTTTGGTCTATTCTGAAAACCATAAATAGTACTTGTGGTGGGTGGGAAAGATTCACAGCTACATAATGACTCAATGTAAATACAAAGCAAGAATGGTTGGACCTGTTATAAGGCAACTTTATTTGTCTCTAAAAAGCTTACTGACTGTTTATTGACAAAAGATTGTATTCTCCTTGGCTTTGAGCACACCAAAATTGAGGCTTGGAAATGCCAGTTACTAGTTTTAAAAACTTGCAAATTACCAAAAGTTCATACGATATTTACATTAACTCACTGGAAAAGAACTATAGCTTATTATTATTATTATTATTATTATTATTATTATTATTTTCTTTATGGCAAGTTAATACTATACCAACTCTCACTGAAAACCACCTGGCTATTTTATCATGCCAAGTTTTCTACCACTAGCATTCTATGTGAACTAGTTTCTTCAGAATTATTTAGATCAATAAAAAATGGAACAAGCTATTAAGCATGATTCTACTGGATTAAAGTGGGACTTTGCTCCTCTCTTATATAACAGGATTTTGAAATTCCTATGAAGTACATGCATTAGGAGGAAATTACTTTGTGCAAACCTAAAACTTTAGGGTTAGGCTATTTCCCAATAGTGTTCTAGCTTTAGAGGAAATCAAGTGGATGTTAATCTTCTTGGTTTTAATAATGCGTACCAGTGAAGGCTGTTTTTGCTATTACAAATACATCCTTTAGAAGATAGGTCAATGTACGCCTTATATAGTTTGCAAAAAGAAATATCTTGTGTTTTGCATATTCTGGAAAATGAAATCTCAAAAAAGAAAAAAAAAACCCTCAGTTAAATCAATAACATTGATTTTAAGGTTACAGTTTTCCAGTTTCAAAGGCAATCTGTAGCATGTGTGCAGAGTCGTAGAGTTATTAGTAGTTATTGGGCATAATCAGCACTAAATCAATATATAACTAGTTTTCCCCACCTTTCCTGTAAACTGGATGTGAAGAACAAGAACTTATTTATTTATTTCAGTTACTTTTACCCCGCCCTTCTCACTCCCGAGGGGGGACTCAGGGCGGCTTACAAAGAAGGCACAATTCGATGCCTATATCAAATATACAAACATACAAAAAACACTTGAAACGATTAACAGATTAAAATCATCAATACACAGTAATACAATAACACAATAATAGATTAGTCCTATGCTCAGCGTTTTCAGAGTTCCATAGGTCCATTCCATTTTGTCAGTTCCTGCTCATCCTCAATGTTTTTCTTTAACTGTCAGACCGTCCAAATGCCTGGTCCCACATCCAGGTCTTCAATTTTTTCCTAAATGAGAAAAGGGAATTCGCCGATCTAATCTCCCCGGGGAGTGAGTTCCACAGGTGAGGGGCCACCACCGAGAAGGCCCTGCTCCTCGTCCCCGCCAATCTCACTTGTGATAGAGGCGGGGTCGAGAGCAGGGCCTCCCCAGAAGATCTTAGACTCCGAGGTGGGACGTAGAGGGAGATCCGTTCGGACAGATACACTGGGCTGGAACCGTATAGGGTTTTGTAGGTCAAAACCAGCACTTTGAATTGTGCTCGGAATTGGATTGGCAGCCAGTGGAGCTGACACAACAGGGGGGTGGTATGCTCCCTGTATGCCGCTCCGGTGAGCAATCTGGCTGCCTCTCGTTGGACTAGTTGGAGTTTCCGAGCAGTCTTCAAAGGCAACCCCACATAGAGTGCATTGCAGTAATCCAATCGGGATGTAACAAGAGCGTGGACCACTGTGGCCAGATCCGACTTCCCAAGGTACGGGCGCAGCTGGCGCACAAGTTTTAATTGTGCAAAAGCTCTCCTGGCCACCGCTGAGACCTGGGGTTCCAGGCTCAGCGATGAGTCCAGGATCACTCCCAAGCTGCGAACCTGCGTCTTCAGGGGGAGTGTAACCCCGTCTAACACAGGCTGTAACCCTATGCCCTGTTCGGTCTTACGACTGACCAGTAGGACCTCTGTCTTGTCTGGATTCAATTTCAATTTGTTAGCTCTCATCCAGTCTGACACAGCAGCCAAGCACCGGTTCAAGGTCTGGACAGCCTCCTTGGTGACAGGTGGAAAGGAGTGACAGATTTGGACATCATCTGCGTAGAGATAACATCTCATTCCGAAACTCCGAATGATCTCCCCCAGCGGCTTCATGTAGATGTTAAATAACATCGGGGACAAAATTGAACCCTGTGGACTCCACACAACAACGGTTGTGGGGCCGAACAGGTGTCACCCAGTAACACCTTCTGGGACCGTCCCTCAAGGAAGGATCGAAGCCACTGCAAGGCAGTGCCCCCGAGCCCCATGTCCATGAGGTGACCCAGAAGGATACCGTGATCGACGGTATCGAAGGCCGCTGAGAGGTCCAGCAGAACTAACAGGGACACACTCCCCCTGTCCAGTTCCCTGCGAAGATCATCTACCAAGGCGACCAAGGCTGTCTCAGTTCCATGTCCCGGCCTAAAGCCAGACTGTGCCGGATCCAGATAATCAGTGTCTACCAGAAACCCCTGGAGTTGTGTTGCCACCACACGTTCCATGATTTTGCCCAAGTAGGGGAGATTGGAAAATGGCCGATAGTTGTCAAATTGAGTGGGATCCAGTGATGGTTTCTTCAACAGCGGTTTTATAATAGCTTGTTTTAAGCTTGCTGGAAACTTTCCTTCCTGTAAGGAGGCGTTAACCATCACCTTCACCCACTCTCCCATGCCCCCTCTGGCTTCTTTTATCAACCAGGATGGGCAGGGGTCTAGGATGCATGTGGTAGGTCGCACCTCTCCAAGGATCCTGTCCACATCCTCAAGCTGAACCAATTGAAAAGAATCCAACAAAATAGGACAAGCAGGTGCTCTCGTTACATCCCCTCAAACTGCCGTTAACATGTGACGTCAAAACCCGACCGAATCCGCTCAATTTTATCATTCCATCATTATTGAGGGAGTTCTTTCCCACATGCAGTGAATTCCATATGCACTGCAACGTGGAATTCATTTTGGACTTTCAGAAGGACAGAAAGAACCTAATTCAATTTCAACAGATTTCCAAAGCTCTGCTTCTCAGTTGAAAAAGTTTATTCTTCAAACCATAGAATAAGGACGTTGCTGAAGCAGAATTAAGCATTTAAGTGAATTGATAGATTACCAAAACTTTACTTACTGTTTTGTATATCCATGTATCAAAATCACAGAGGCTTTGACCAAAATGACACAAAGAATTTGTGTCATTTTGAATGCAATATTCCTGCTTCTTCACAGGGGGTTGGACTGGATGGCCCATGAGGTCTCTTCCAACTCTTTGATTCTATGATTCTATGATTTGTGATCACTAGTTAGCCTTAAATCAATCACTTGTCATCATCAAACTTTTAAGAATGCATGAGAGTAAAGGCAGAAAAACATGGTTGGGCATCCGGACAACGTGGCTGGTCCAGCGGAGTTGATGGCGGAGGACCATCACTTCAATGCTGGTGGTCTCTGCTTCTTCCAGCATGCTGACGTTTGTCCGCTTGTCTTTCCAAGAGATTTGCAGGATTTTCCGGCGACAGCG